AGGGGGTTTTTCCGGTTAGGCTCGGAAAGTTCCGGAAGTTGGATGAAGCCGAAGAGGGTGAGGTTTTAGGGGAGACGAGTAGTAGTAAATTGGACGGTAGAAGGTGCTATTCGATGGGTTCTTATCAGTATATAGTTGGTGATGCTAAACTTAGAGTGGCGTTGAGCGAAGATCGAATTGGATGCGACAAAAAGATTGTCGAAGGAGCAATAAAGGAGCAATCTTGCAAGGAGTTGGGTGACGAGAGCACAGAGGGGAAGAGGATATGTATCGGTACGAAGACCGATAGCTATTCGGTTTCCAAGATTTGGCTATGGTCGAAGAAGGGGAAATACGCTAGTTCTTCCGACGGGCATTTGGATAATAATAATAATCCTTCTTCTCCGAACTTGGACTTAACGTGGATGCACAGAAGACAAGGCGTTTGAAAGGTGTTGTGCTTTTTTTTTATTATTTTTTTTTTAAATATATATTTTGATTCGTCGCCCCCCGTAAATTTACGATAGTGTTGGGTTTTCTTTTTGTTCTGAAATTTGAATGACCTGTTTTGAAAAGAAGTTGCCTTGCCTATGGTGTATCTAGATAATTGATGCATGAAGAGTGTTTCTTGACGGTTTTGTTTTTTCTTTCGGTTTTACGTGTTTAGATTTTTCTTCTCGGAAGTATCTTTTGTAACATAGTGAAGAAAATACGATATAGATTGATCCGACCGAATCAGCTTGCTTAGTAGTACATCCCATCACGGTGTCTCCAAATAACTCGAAAATGTTTCTTTAAAATCGGAACTAAGATCTTAACATACTTACTAGACATCGTAGTAATTCGAAAATACGGGGATCATATCTGAAGAACATTTGTGCTGTAGCCAGTTTTGCATCTTTCTTCTCATGGCATAGTTTGTGCATTGAATCAGTCAAAAGGGTTATAAGTTTTTAGGCAAATTACGGCCACCACTGAGGTATGGTAAATTACGAAAACACCCTTCTTGTTTGTGTAATTACATCCACACCATCAACTATAAATCTCCTTACACGTCCACCCTTATGGTGTCAAATTCAACAGAATCTTATAGATTCCGTAAAATATTCTCGATTTTTTTCGTAAAATTCGTCTTCTTTTATTTGTTAAATACATGGTTGGCTTAGACTTGGTCATTCATTTCATGAGCTGTAGTAGCAGGTAGCAAATTATATATACTTGTATTAATTTTTTCTTACTTTGAATATTTTGGGATAGTGTGAGCACAATCTTTTGTGTGTTGGGGTTGTGTCTTTTTCATTGGGACCGTTTGGTGGGATCCATTAATAAAGGGATATTAGATAAAAATAAATCTTGTGATGAGAGCTCTTCTTTTATTATTTTTAATTTAAAAGAGATAAGAAAAGAAAAAAGAAACTTTTGTTTTTCATTGAATTGAATATTTATTTAATTAATTTGGAAATTGATAATTTGATATAAATATGAATGGTGGGCCGGCAGCCATGTAAAAATTGACCACGGCCCCATTCATTTATTTGTCTTACACCTGAATGTGTCATAGATCATTAGATCTGCATCACAATGTACCTAAACCCCTAAACTTTAATAGAAAATAAATGTTATTTGATTATTTCTGAAAAATACGAGAATATGGGGAAATGTGTAAATATTGAAGGTCTAGGGTATTATTTATAAATATGTTTTTATTTATATTTTTTATATATTTTCATACAAATATATCCAAAATAAATTTACTATGTACTATCAATATTCAATATACAATTGATCGCTAAATCATGTAAATAATTAAGTAATCAATAAAAATATTTGAAAATTTGATATTCAAACATATATCTAACTTTTTAGAATTTGCAAGATAGCAGGGTCGAACACGAAACGTGTTCAAAATGTTGAAACGATAAGAAGTTGAAGTACTGGAATATTAGAACTAAATCATAATAACAAATTGCCAATGCTGATAAGTTGAGCAAGTTGTCATGTGAAGAATCAGATTAGTGCAAAATTAGTAACATATGCCCAATAAAAAAAGAATAAAATTATATTTTCATTGTTGCCTTGAAGAAACAATTACAGTAAAACTGTAAACCAAGTAAGTAGACATCCTAGCTAAAGTATGTATAATGAATAATAATCAATCATTAACAGTTGCCAGTTTCCACTAAACGAATTTATAAAGAGATTTAACTAATTAATTAACAATATATTAGTAATATAAAAATGTGTGAAAACTGAAATTAAATAAATAAATCCACCGACCACCGTCAAATAAATAAATCTTCCTCTCACGTGACTGTCACGTGCACGAGGTGGATTCCTTCAATTGGCCGCTGTGCGCGGGGATCGCCGCATACCGCGATGAGAAGTCTCGATAAACGGCGTCGTCTTCGTACTGACCGTTTTGCCCCCGTCCGTCGTCGAAATTGAGCGAATAGCTCAGGGGATCGTACTGGAATTTCCCCGGCTTGGACTTGCCGGAGGTTTTGTTGAACCGGCGGATGAACGTCTTCCATTTCGGTCCGGCGACAAGCTCCGACCATTCCCTCACCTTTTTCAAGGCGTCCACACCTTTATCCCACCAACTCCGATCAATTCCGTCCTGTTGTTCTCTGCCGGAAGTCGAGATTCGCTCCCAATTATCGGATTTAAAACAGGGGATGCTGAAAAAGCAGCAGCAGCACCCACGGTTGAAGAAGGCGGCGGATTCGTCGCCGGAATCTTCGTCTTTAGATGTGAAATCCGCGGTGGATTGTTGCGCCATCGAATCAGGGGGAGAAGAATCAACGCGGTTAATTCTTCCCGCAGCAAAAACCTAATTTTGGATTTTGCTGATGAGAGAGAAAGCTAGAGAGAGAGAGTAAGAAGAATGTTGGTTCTTCTTTCCCCTAAAATTCAAGGGCTTACATTCTACTTCGTATATAACGGCAATATCGGCGGAGGAGGTAGAGGAAGGGTTACCGGGAGATGCCGGTAATTATAACGGCCAACAACTAAGGAATTATATAGCTGGAGCCGGTTAAACGCCAGGCTGACAAGGTCAAACTAAAGGTTTGTTTGTAGGTCCTTAATCCTTATTAATTATCTACCTAATTGGAAATTAAGAAGAAAATTAATACAATGTAATGTAATGCTCAATTGAAATATTATTACGAAAAAAAGATGCTCTTGTTGTTGGTGTTGGGGCTTTATTTCATTGTTGCCAAATTCGTTACTTTATAAATTAGGGGATGCTCGAATATTTACCTAACATATGTTTCTGATATTCTTTTTTCCTTTTTTGTCAATTTTTCTTCAAATTATTTGTTTGATTCTTAACTCCCTTTTCCTTTATTTAATTTTTGTCTTCTTTTGGTGCCTTTAACAATGTCATATATTATAGGGTTGAATCCATTTTGACGAGTTCGAACTCCTTGAGTTTGTTTTTGGGCTCGAGTTTGAACCTGAGTTATTTTGTATTTTTTATAATATTAATATTATTAGAATTTCATTATTACAAATTATAATAAAAAAATTGAAATAAAAAAATGACTTGTAATTTATTTTTGTGATTACTTTACGAACAACTAAAAATGAGCTCGGGTTCGACTCGTTAGAAAACTCGAGCTTTTGTCAAGCTAGCTCACCGAACTCACGAGGGCCGGCTCAATTCATTTATACCCTACGTTGGAATAAGATTCATCAACAATAAAGTCGAATCTAGGATGATGAGATAATTTAAAGATATTTAAAAAAAAAATGCAATATGAAATCCCTATTATATGATCTATTAATTGCTCGGGCCTTATAAATGGGGCCTCTAATTGGGCTACTTAAATAAACAGAGGCTCAAATAATACATCCCTCCATAATTGACGAGACAGGGCCCACTAGTTGTGGACCTAATATTAGGACTTCTATTTCAAAAATAAAAATATTAGTAGTGTCTATTTAATTTATTGTAGTAATAATAATAATAAAAAAAAAAAAAAAAAAAAAAAAAAAAAAAAAAAGTGGAAAATAAAACACAATCCATAAAAGTAGTTTGGCGTGTTCATTTAATATATAGAAATAATGGACGCCGGAATTTGGATATTGAATCAGTGTTGGTGTCTGTGCCGTATTTAACAAGGAATTAAGATCTGGTTGTGGTCCTATAGTATTGGCTATAGAGCTACCTTGAAAACGACAACGTATTTACTGTAATAACCAGAATTCTTCCAAGGCCAATAGATAAGATATGTATGTGTGTGTGTGTATATATATATATATGTGCAAGGATTTCATTTTTTTCATATACACGATGAGAAGACGTGTAAGAAGATTCATATTTGAGTAATGGCTATAATTGTCCAAGCAAGAAGGGTATTTTCGTAATTTAACATTACCTCATGGGCGAATGTAGTTTACCATATATATTTATTATACATACTAATTTATAATAATGCCTAAATTTGGTAAGGACAATTCTTGTTGACCAAATCATTCTGCAAAATATACAAAAACCAACCATCTGTGTACTACAATTGTCAAATAACTCATATATATAAATTAAATTAAATTAATAGCCATATGAATAACTCATATAGTTATATGATCTTGACCTTAAATTATGATTGTTATACATTTGATCACCATAGTCAACGGCCTTGACCACCACCTCCTCCCTATGCTGCTGCTCTTGCACCGCCCCAAACACAATTTCCTCCGTTTCGACATTCTGACGCTCGTAGTGCGTTTGTGGGCCCGGAGGGTGGTGCTTCTGATGGTGCAGCTGCGGCTGATAATTCCCCTCCCACGCACCACCACCACCACCACTATAGTACGGCGACGGGCGGTTCTGGTTGAATTGCCTAGCAGCCTTGTGCATGTCCTTGGTCGTAATAGCGTACCCTTTTCTTGACGACATTGGCTGATCTCTCGTTTCTGCTGGAGGGGGTTCGTCTTCGTGTGGTATGACGAAGCTTTCTTGGACGGGCCAATGATTGGAACTCGCGTGCCTAGGGGAGTAATGGTGGTGCTGCTGCGTGTGATTGTGGCCGGTGGGTTTTCTTTTGAAACCAGAGAATATTCCGGTGAAAAACTCGGTTGTGTGCCTTCCTAATGAACTGAGCAAGCCCTCTTCTTGTTTGTCGTATTCGCTGTCGTCGGGGATTAGTGGAGGTAAAACGGATTTGGAATGCGGTCTCTTGTATGGTGCAGGTGGCATTGCCTTTACGTAAGGCGGCGTTGGTTCCTTCAAATTTATAGAAACCGTTAGAGAGAGAAATTCGTAGTTCGTGGTTTATTGCATTTAGGTCCCTTGTGTTTAGTTTAATTGCTAAAAAACTCCATGTTTTTATAAATATAAGGGGTTGCGTGCTAAAAAAAATTGCACCGTGGGGTTTTTTTTGCTAGTATTTACGACACGGGGAGTTCTTTATCAATTTGATATAAATGTAGGGATATTAATTTGCAATACAGCAATTCATTGGAATAACCACTTGAGTACTTACAGTGTCGTGTGAAATGATCGAAGCGATTCTACGTTGCAACAAAGCGAGCATATAACCGAAGAAACAAGCTGCAGCAAGCACCGCTATCCCTGAAATGTGACATAAAAATACGTATTTTATTCTCCCTTTAATTTTTGACTAAGCAACGTGTATATATAAATAAGTTTTACGTTTAATTTATAACTACCTAAATGAAGATTGTCATCTTCGTGGTGGGAACAATCATCTTCGTGTAATTGTATCTCTCGAATCGCTTGATTCCCTCTGTCTATAACAAGTATCGTACAACTACTTCCTACATACACCATATCAATATCATCGGAAAATTTCGCATTTGCGCTCGGACCGTCTACATGTCCTCCTCCTCTCCCTACGTTGCCACCCGCAATCGTTACGATTCCTAC